AACTTCTATCTTATCATCTAATTTGGATTTTAAGTTGGGTCTATATGATAAGGTGTCTAATACAATATATTTTTGTCCTTGCTTGTACTCAAACTGAATGTCAAAGACTTGTAACAATTCTTTTGAACAATGATGTTGTGATTTTATATTTTTCAAATGTAAATTGTGTAGCAAAGATCAGTGGTCAATCTAAACAATTACTGGCTTTTCCAACAAATAATATTGCCACATCTTTGTAGTATATAAAATTACTAATTGATCTCAATTACATAGAGAATAATTGTACTTTTTCTTTTTGAGTTTGCATGATTCTTACGCCACAAGTTGAAGGCCCCTATCAAAGTCTTATTAAAGAATCATGCTAATAGCAAAATCAAAAGCATCAATATTAAGTATACATAGAAGATTAAGATAATACAGTTGCAATATTGGAGTAATAATTAGTATCTCTTTCAATTCCTTGAAGGCCTTTTTTTGTTCCAATTTTTATTCAAATAAGGCATCCTTTTCCAATAAACTTGAGGTAGCAATGTGTATAAATTGTTGAACAAAATGGTGATAATATCTAACAAGGCTTAAGAATAAATAAACTTTAAAAGTATTGTTGGAAGTTGGCCAATCCTATATTGCTTTCATCTTATCTTATTCTATGTGCATGCCTTCAAAGGATACTATATGTTCCAAAAAGATGACCTTCAACTTTCAAAATTCATATTGCAATGCTTGTAATAGAAGCAACTATCACATAGCTGATGTAATATTTCTTGTAAATATTATTCATGCTCCTCAAGTATTTTACTATAGACTAGAATATCATCAATGAAGATGACGACATACTTATTCAAAAGGTTCCAAAATAATCTATTTATGTGACCTATAAAAGAGGTCGGAGCATTGATAAGGCCAAAAGATAATATAAGCCATTCAAAATTTCCATAGTGGATATAGAATGCCATCTTTTCTATATTTTCTTTAGTAATAAGGAATTGCCAATAACCACTTCAATGATTCAATTTGCTAAAGTTGATTGCACCTTGAAGTTGGTCAAGAAGATCATCCACATGTGAAAGTAGATATCCATTCTTGATAGTTTGTTTATTGAGGTCCTAATAATTGATGCAAAGTCAAAGTCCACCATTTCTTTTGAATGCAAAGAATAGATGTGCTCTCCATCACGATGTGCTTTCTTAAATGAGATCCTTCTTCGAAAAATTTTCTAATGACTTTTGCAACTCTTCAAGTTCATTTAATGTTAGATAATAAATTGGTTGATTTAGTAGTTTGGCTTTGGGCTTTAGTTCTATTTAGAAGGAGGCACCTCAATCAAGTGGCACGCTACTAAATAAGTCAATTGGAAAGACATCCTAATATTCATGTACGAATTATTCTACCTTTCTATTCTTTTAGTTGTCTTTTCTACCACTGATGTAAGATTCAAAATTACTATATATATATATATATATATATATATATATATATATATATCGATTGCTTATTCAATATTTACTTCTTCATAAAGGTCATTCCTATAAATTAGCTCTTAGTCACAAATTGTTTTGTTATCCTACTCAATATAAAGGCATGAAGAGTCACCATGCCTCCTCCATCTTTGAAAGAGATTATTCTTGCTAATCAATCAATTTATTTATTTTCCACCTTTTAGCCATGGCATACTAAGAATATCATCATATTTAAGCTTTGATATTCTAAACTTCTTCCTTAAGGCATAGGTTTTACTCAATTTCAAGATTTCTTCTTCACTTATCTTGTTCAATACTTGATCATTTACTAAGTATATACTCTCTCCTTTGATTACCTTTGTTTTAATTCTAAGTCGTTTAGCAACTGTTCTCAAGATGTAATTTTTTGTGGAGCTGCAATCTATAAATACTTAATATGGTTGTCTTTTTAGTTGACCAATTGGATATATCAATCAAGCCTTCTGATAGTTATCTAAGGCTATGTTGTTTGTCTCTAAGAAACAACAACTATTCTTAATATTGGCCTTTGGTGCGTTTATTGAGGAGCTCCTTTTTTTTGCTTTATTTTTTCATTAACTTGATAGCCTTCAAGATTGTGAACTTGCCATGATTATTTGATGCTTGAACTTTGACATTTTAGGCAGTCTCTAACCTCATGGTCTGGCTCTAGACAATAAAAGCACAATCTACTTTGAGCCAATATTTTTCATCTCTATAGTGTCAATGGTCCTTACAAAGCATCAATCTCCATCAATATTAATTGTTGCACCATAATATTGGTTAGTGGCATAGGATCCCATATTATAGGTCAGATTCCATGCTTTTTGAAATTTATAGCATTGACACTCTCTACAATCCTAAATGCCTCTTTAAATATTTGTAGATCCCTTGATTCTATCTCTTGCTGGACTATAGGTTTCAACCCTTGTATGAACTGGTCCATCATCTCCACCTCTAAAATATTGTAAATTTAGAGATATAGAGATTTGAATTGGGAGATATAATCTTGCACTGACATAAATTATGTAAGGTTAGCTAATTGATTGCATCCTAACTTCTCTGCATTGATGGGCCGAAATAGACTTTTAAGCTCAGTTTGAAATACTTCTTAGTCACAAAATCCACCTTGAGCTCCATAGCCTTGAGCTCAATATGGCCACTAAATGGTTGTTGTATCTTTCAAATAATTAGAAGCATATATAATTCTTTTAGTAGTATTTGTTCCAAATAATTGGATGTACTGTTGCATACTGAAGAACTATTGGCATACATCTTCTTGTATTGAGGTCCCTAAATATGTATTGGACTTACTTAATTTTAGCCTAATAGATATTAACTTCCTTGTCTTAGAAGCTTCTATTTGCCCTTGCATAGTATCTATTTAGCCTAAGAAGTGTTATATCTGACTTTCCATTTAGGATTCCTCTACCATAAGTCTCATGTTACAATTTCCTTGCTGAACTTTACTATTATAATGCCTTCTCTCTTTCTACTTGAATTCTTAAAGTAACTCATTGTAGCTCCAAAATAGTACCTAATGTGATCACAATAATTGACCTCCAACTAAATGGTGGCTATCAGCATACTACCAAAGAACAAACTAATACTCGCTTTGATACCAATGAAATAGGACTGTATTTACAAAGGTCTAAAACCTTATCAATTTCATAACAACAAAGATCTTGATACAATGTAAGACCAAGGATATTAGAACAAAACTGAAAGTAACTAAATAAAATAGAACATGAAAGATATGATTAAATAAAAGAAAATAGAATCAAATAGAATCAAATAGAATAGAACAAGAAAAAACAACCAAATTTTACTGAAACAAAGAGTCTGAAACCATACCTAATTGAATGTTCAAATAGCCTCAATGAGTCCTATTTATACTTTGTTCAATTATTCTTAGAACTTTCTAGAATGTCTCTAATTGTAGGCCCCTCTAAGATAATTACTCTTCTAAAAGACTTTAAAGGTGGGCTCTATCATAATTACCACCGTAAGCCTTTTCAAAAGGTTCTATGGTGGATCCTACATGAACCACTATCCTAACTTCAATTCTAAAAACTTTCCAAAAACAAGTCCAACTACATATTTCTATGTGCAAATATTACAAATATCCTAGCTTTAGAGTCTTTTATAATTGGAGTTTATGAAGATCTATCTTATATTCTACATATCTCTTCTTGAGTTGTATAAGATAGTGAATATCTTGAAAAAAAGACAAATGCCACATCCTTCTATAGAAGTAGATAATAATCAATATATATAGAGAGAAAGCACAAGAATAAGATTTTTAGTTGTTCCTCCAACTACATTTACTCATATATGCTGGAAGGAACAAAAGGAATTCCTAAAATTTACTACATTTGCAATACTTGTCTAACAACATATTTTTCTCAAAATTGGAAGCTTATCCAAGATCACAAAAATACAATCAATCAATGTCAACAGACAAAGACACTTATTGATGGTTCTTGCTTGAGACTAGATTAGTAGTTTAAAATTTGATGATTTCTTTGTTGACCCTTACAACATGCATACATATACATGAAACACATTTATTTGGTTGTTTATCTTTCCAAAATCATTTGTACTCAATCAAATATGCATGGATAATCACATTACATTTTTAGTGTTTTCAGTGTGCAAAGAATGCAATGCACATGGTACAAAATCAGTTTATAACCTGTCAAACATTAACCTGGCTTTGTTGAATTGCCTCAATTTTGGCACACAATCCATGTGTGGCTAGAATAGCACGCACGGTTTCAAACATAGAAAGTGCGCCAGGTTTTTCGGAAGCCACTCGCTCGCAAGGGCACCATTTGCAATCGGACAGAGCCTCGGATTCCACCTCATCGACAAAGCCATTGTGGGGATCCCAGGCACTCCGTCTTTCACAAAAAGCTCGGGGTAGAGTGTCCAGCGCCGGAGTCATCATGCGCGCCATCATGCAAATTTTCGAATCGGCTCGTGTCGGCACATGAATCAGGCAACTAGTTTACCTGGTACGTCTCGGAGTTTGCATGAATCCTCTTGATCGTTACTGTGTTAGTTTAGCGGGAGTTTCAGCGGGTGTGGTTTTTTTCTTTATCTGGCTTGCGTTTTAGTTTTTTAATTTTGAATTTTTAATGATATTTTTCATAGTGTTTTATACAATTTTATTTTTCACTTTTGGTTTGGTACAATTGTCTTGGACAGGCATCGGGGCCCACAGCAGGGCTACAGCCAAGTCGTGCCGGCCTGACACACGGGTCCTGTCTTTATGTCTCTGTTGTACCAGTCATCTATTCCAACTGGCTATTCTAAATTAGAAGCCATTTTTACCCGTGATTATAATTCCTGATTTTGTTTTTGAGCGGATTGTGAACAATGAATTACTGACTCCAATCTTAGATCCTTATACTTATTCCTAAGATACTTAGCAGGTAAATTTTCTGTTTGGTCCAACGAAAGATGTCCATTAAAACGGCACCTAGTCACAGCCACCTCATGCACGTACTCTGTGGGTATCTACAACCCTTTGTGCAGGTGAAACGCTCTCCAAGCTCAGACCGTATTCAAAAAGTTGACCGTGCAAGTCACTTCTTCACACGCTTGCTTGCTGTGCAGACATGGCGGGAGAGAGGCGGAAGTTCCGAAACTCTGCGTCATAAGTTAGCGTTCTCTACACGGTAGGTGAGCGAGATGTTAGGGTTTTTACTCATTTTGAACGAAAGATGAGAGTGACGCTTGTACTATCTTGATTTACTGTGGATGATGAGAGGTTGTTGAAGCAGAGAGCGAAAGAGCAGGGCACGTTTGTAGCTTGATGTGCTCTTGAGAGAACTGCGCCGCTTTGTTGTTGTTGGTTTAATTTTTTTGGCTGACATCTGGCAAGTTGCGCTTCTAGTTGTAGTGTTCGTTTACTATATTTATTTGTTTATGACGTGTTGCCCTGTGAAGGAGATCTGTGCTGTGTGGGCTGTTGTTGTGGAAGCTGTGCGAGGTCAAGAAAGTTGTTTGAGAAAGAGGAAGCCTTTTTCTCGGAATCGAGAGGGTAGTGCCGGAGTGGTGCTTCTGTAGGTAAATTTGTTCTGAAAGCAGCGAAGTAGGTTTCAGTTTTGCTTGTTTTTTTTAAAAAGAATTTCCAGGGTTATTGTAGATAGTTGTGGACGAGCGTCTGCGGTGATGTCTTACAACAGGCCTTACAGTCCCGCTGGGCCGACGGTTCCTTCTTACAGCGGTAGCGGCCTCGATTCCTACGGTAGGCAACAATCACTGTCGAATCCATATGGAGCCACATCGCCACCGAACAGCTATGGCGGTGGTTACGAGTACAATCAAACGCAACAAAGTTATGGTGTCACAGGGACCGGAATCCCCTACTCTTCCACTAGCAGTTATGGTGGTTATAGTGCACCATCTGCTCCAAGCACTTATCCTCCACAAGATTACGGTCCGCCTCGGCCACAACCCTCTTCATTGTTCCCACCTAACACCGATCAAGCTATCGTTCAAATTTTTCAACAAGCAGACGTTGACAGGAGCGGGACAATTGACGCGAACGAGTTAGGAAGATTGTTATCAGAAGGCCGAGTAAGGTTCTCTCCTCGCACCTTGCGCCTTATGCTGCACCTCTTCGCCGATAACCCGGCGGATCCCTCAAGAATTGGACCACAAGGGTTTGTCAACCTTTGGCGGGAGCTCGGCATCTGGCATGAGAAATTTATGCAGTATGACCGAGATAGGAGTGGGACCATTGATGTTAGGGAGCTGCAAGAAGTTCTTTTCAGCTTCAATTTCGCCATACCTCCCTCGGTCCTTGACATGTTAGTAAAGAAGTATGATCATACAGGGTACAACAGAAGCATTGGCTACGGCCAATTCATTGAGTGCGGTTTCATCGTGAAAGGCTTGACTGAGAAGTTCAAGGACCAGGACCGTGCTCGAAATGGTACTGCCACTTTCGATTACACCAGTTTCATGCTGATGGTCATTCCTTTCATCGCTGCTTGATCCAAAACTCTTCCCTTTATTTTTTTTTGTAGTAGTGCATTGATGCTAGTGATGGAGAAGCAGGAACCTTAACTGGATGTACCTAAGAGTCTAATAGGTTATGGAGGTGACCAGCACCAGCTAGGGTCTACAATTGCTCCCACTGCGTTTCACCAGGGGAAGCACCAATCTCCTGCAGCCTCAAAGGAACTTGGAGGGGTTGTGACCATGCTAAATCCGTTAGGTGAGTTTTTTTGTGAAAGGCTAGATTGGGAAATTCGACATGAATAGTTGTACAACTTCCAATCTCACAAGCCCCGTGCTTCCGTGTATGTGTGTTCTTCCGTCGTTTTCCTCCGTGAATTAATTCGATTCTGTGTTGTTGTACTTGCCTACAACAACAATGAATGAGTACTTCCTTAGGCTCTTGTGGCTTGTAATTGGCCGCTGTTCTAGTTCCCTTTTGGATATTGCAGAGGCCTCTAGTGAGGAATTTCCTCGAAATTGTCGGTGTACATAGAAGAATTCAAGTCCATGCAGAAAGAAGTGGTAGTTGTTCTACCAATATTGCAACTTATTAGGAATTAGGTCTAACTCCTTAAGCTAATGAGAAAAATATGGAGAGGTTAGTTTCTGAAAGGAGGATGGAATTGGAATAAGGATGTAGATTAGTCCTCATCAATGAGTGTCCATAGTAAGGACTCAAGAAGTTTACCATCAAAAATAGGTACCCTTTATCCTTAATATTTGGACTTTTTAATCAATTAAATCAAGCTAAGATCTTGAACAATGGATAGAAATTGGTTTTTATAGGTTTATCTTTAAATTTGGATGTTGTTATTGTTATTGTTGTTTATTTTTATTTTTATTTTATTAATCATTAATTATTTGCCTTGTCCAATTTCCAAGCATCATCTCAACTCCCAATAAGATTGGAATCTTTTAATTATAGAGAAGCTTAATTTTGAAGCTTTCTATAAAATAATATTTTATTATAATTCTCTTTTTCTTTGGCAATATTCTATGTATTGTTGTAGATTGAAGAATGAATGGTATAGCTATTTTTGTAATATATAATTAAAGAATTAAGATATTTAGATTGTTGATTTTACTATTGTAGAGAATATTTTTACAATCTATTGTTGACAAATATGCTAAAGTCAACTTGCTTGCTATATCTCATCACTAAAAACATAAATTTTAGGACTTACTTTAGTATGTTATTTCTGAAGCAAAAGAAAGATTGTCTTTCTTTTGCTAATAATTATTGATAGAACAAAGAAGAAACTATATTATATATAGATTTTTTTTATTATATTCAAAATATTCAATAATTTTGATGAATATTTTATTAAGTTTTTATTTTTATATATATATATATATATAGAAAGAAGTAGAATCACAAATCCACAAAACATTAGAATTTAAGAATCTATGTAAAATATATGAAATTCTACTGTTTAATCAAATCTATTAAAACATTTAGAAACCACTTTTTTTTAAGCAATACTAAGTTTTATAAACTTGTGTTAGAATTTGGATATTAAAAATTAATTTTTAAGGAATTTTAATTATCCTATGAATATATGTATATATAATTATTTTGTAGAATTGGTGGATCAAAGAGATATATATGATGAATTAAAAAAATTCTTCTTATAATTATTGATATAATAATAAATTAAGAGATAAATAATTCTAATTTATATTCAGATTTCTTGGTCTTTTTTTATTCTACGTATTAAATATTATTCTAATTTCTTTTTCTATTTAATTTAAAAATAAGAAAATAAGAAAATAAAATCTTTTCCAAATAATATTTTAAAACCAATAATTAGTTAATATAAAAATATTTTTGTTAAAAATTAAAAATATAAAATATTAAAATATTAAAATATATTTGTTGCATTTTCTTCATTACTACAACTTATTCTTTTCAAAAATAATTTTCTTATTGAATTAATTTTTTTCATTAATTTTTAAAATTAAATCCACTTAAAAATAATGTAGTATTAAAAATAAATATTTTCTAATGCCACCAATTTTTTTGCTATTGCCACCACAAATTACAAATTTATTACATGCCATTATAGTTTTTGTTCTTATCACCAAAACCTATTCTTATTCATTTTTTAATTTATATTCTATTAAAATTATATATATATATATATATATATATATATTAAAAAAATAAAAAATAAAATCAGGTTTTAAATATTAAGAATTTTTTTAATTAGAATAAAAAAAAAAAAAACTAAAGAGATATATCAAGTTAATAACAAGTTGAAATGGCAATAGAAAAAACCATGGTAGCCTTAGTAATGCCTTTAAAATATATTTGCATTAATTCCTCTTTGAATAATTTTTTTTTAAGATAATTTTTTTTATAATAAATAATCATGTTTTTATATCATTATTTAAAAAAAATAGAATCATATAAATGTTGTAATTCAATTCAGCTTTATTGATTCTAATTACCAAATTCATCTTTATTGATTCTAAGTACTTTTTCTTGACATCATTACCAAATAACTTGTGCAAGCTCACATCTTTAATTGTCTTTGATACAAAATGGTGCTCAAGCTTGACATTACAGCCAAATAAATTAGGCAACCTTATATCTTTGACAACCTTTGATATACAAGGGTGCTCAAGCTTAACATTATTAGCAAATAAATTTAGTAATCTTACATCTTTGACTATCTTTTCTATTAAAATTTGCTCTAGTTTGATATTATTGCCAAATTAATTGGATAATTTTACATCTTTAACTATTTTTTAATATAAACAAGTACTTATGTTTGTCATCATTGCTAAATGAATTGTATAATCTCACATCTTTGATCACCTTTAATATAAGCTCTTATTCAAGCTTGACATCATTGATAAATAAATTGGACGATTTCATCTCTTTGACTATTTTACATATAGAGAAGTGCTAAAGCTTGATATTGTTGCCAAATAAATTTAGCAACTTCAAATGTTTATCTATCTTAGATATGCATAGGTGGTCAAGCTTGACATTGTTGGTAAATAATTTTGGAAATTTCACATCTTTAACTACATTAAAAATAAGTGAATGCTCATGCTTGATATTTTTACTAAATGAGTTAGAGAATCTTATATCTTTGACTATCTTATATATAAGACAATGCTCAAATCTAACATTATTGCCAATTAAATTAGGCAACTTCACATCTTTGACTACCTTTCATATGTAGAGGTGATGAAGCTTAATATCAATGCCAAATAAATTTGACAACCTTGTATATGTATCTATCTTTACAATGTAAAATACTCAAGCTTGAACTTATTGCTAAAAGAATTTGACAACCTCACATCTTTGCCTATCGTATAGAAAAGCTGGAGCTCTATGTTAACTTCATTACATAATGACTTTGGCAACTTTAAATCTTTGAATATCTTTTATATAAGAAGATGGTATCACGAACATACGCATATAAACCAATAATTACATGTATAAATAAGTAGAAGTGAGTAAAAATAGGTAAAAGTAAGTCAATTCTATAATATTTGTTATGGAAGCTTTCTAGAAGCTTTATAGATGCTACTTTGACTTTATAGGTGTCTTTAATTGACTTTTTAGATTAGAAACGTGGTCAATAAGTTGGCCATGTGCCACACATGTTCTTAGCTTGAAGACCAAGCTAACTATGTGGCCCACACATAAAAAAACTTGTCTTGTAAGTCAAGGCATATGTCCTACAAAGTCAACACATATTGGAGGTCCTATAGAATATCGCCACATAGCTCCTAGTTAGATAGTATATATAGAGACAAGAGTGAAGTCCTCTTCACTCTTGTCAACTCATTTCTTGCTTCTAGTCTAGTTTCAAGGGTCTTTAGTTTTCTCAAGTCCTCTCTTCTATTTGTCTTGAGCGATATTAGACATCTTTTTTTTCTAAGTGTTATCATGGCAAAACTTATTGAAATGAAGAGTACAATGGCACAAATGTAAGAGCAATTGAGGGAGTTAATGCTTACGATGCATCAACTCAATTTACAACCACAAGGAGCAACAAGATTGGCAGGAAGTAAAGATATAGAAATAATTGGAGCTGCTTCAATATTTGTACCAAATCATATCCATTTTCTTATGATAGAATGCCATTCCATTATTAGAAAACCTAGAATTGCCCTACTTGAGAATTTTGATGGCACCAGATGAAAGTTTATAGGATTTATCAATCAAGTATAATTTTTGATTGAACTTCAATTCCAAAGCTATCCAACTCTAGGATCACAAGTTAAATTCATTAGTATGCTTCTTTCAAATTCAGCATTATCATGGTTTTCATCTTTTCTTGAACCACGAGATCCAATATTAAATAATCTAGAAGCTTTTTTGGCAAAGTTTTGATACATGTATGGAAAACATGATGCAATTTGTGTTGCAACCAACAAGATTCGTATTTTGTGACAATACAATCGATAAGTAACATTGTACACTTCACAATTTTGACAACTTATAACTGATATCAAGTGGGATGATACTGCACTCGTTAGCCAATTTCTCTATAGATTATAATATGAGGTAAAAAAATTAATGCTCAACTTACTTGATCCTCAAACATTGAGTCAAACAATTGACTTTGCTATGAAGTGCAATAATTGTCTTTTTGAATTTTGATTTGAGAACTATATAAGTGGACCTCAACGTTACTATAATTCAATGGCAACACCAACATCTATTCAATACATACATTCGAAAGTAGAAGATATGTAAATTAATGCAGTACGTTTCAAACCTCTTACTAAGTAAGAAAAGACTCGTCGTCCTTGTCGTGTTGTAACATGAGTATACCCTGAAAATATAAAAAAAAGAGACTTTTATTAATGTTCAGTTATCTCGAATATTGGAAGCAACGATCGATTCCTATGCCAATATTGAGGGGCCAGTTCAGACACCCCGTCACAGTCAATCAAGGCATACTTACTAGTAACGAAATGCTTTGTTCGAGTCCAATAGTAGAAGTCAACAGAATCAAAAGGATTAAATTGATGACTGAGCGAGTTTGACGTGAAGGACCAATTTGATCCAATTACAGGAACATCCAGGTCTTACTACAGGCCTCTTAGCCAATATGAGACCTGAATTGGTCGGGCGACTCAATGTGGTCCCGATTACGGGGGTTTCGATTCCATTTTAGGCTGTCCTGTTCTCTGTGCCGTTTCAGGGAACGTTGTTTCCAGAGAAAGAACCTTTTAAAAGGCAAAAAATGGAGGAGAAAGCTCTGACGACGGGAGCCAATTCCGGATCCAAGATGGAAGATTGAAGAAATTCAGAGGCTAGGGTTTGAAAGAGGGAAGAATTAGGGTTAAAGGGGAGGATAGGTTAAGAAATAAAAAGAGGGAAGAATTAGGATTAAAGGGGAGGATAGGTTAAGAAATAAAGAAGGGAGAATCAGGGTTTTAAGGGTCGGAGAGCTAGCTTCACGCTGAAAAGGACAGAGAGTTGGGGGTTTTTTTTTCATAGGATTTTGGGAAGACTGAGGCAATCGTTGCTGAAAGTCAATGTTATATTGGTGAACTGGATTTTTTTTCCGAAAGAGAGAAAAGGCTAGTACTTTTGATTGTTGATGAAATGGGAGATACTTCTGTGGTTGAAATTCAGAGTTGTCTAGAAGGTTGAGTATGCTGAATGCATGTGTGGTTGTGTTAATCTGACTGTAGGGATAGAGGATATTTGCCAACAGTTTAAAGAGGTTTTGGGAGTAGGCAAATCGAGGGTTGTTTAGGGTTTTTGTGATAATTGGGGACCTACCGACAGGGATAAGAAGAATATCGGC